GTACCTCTAGGCTCAGCAACCCCAGACTCAGAACGTCCACGCTCCGCACCCTCAGACTCAGCACCCCTAGGCTCCGCACGCTCAAGTTCAGCACCCCTAGGCTCCGCACCCTCAGACTCAGCAACCCCAAGCTCAGCACCCCCAGGCTCCGCACCCTCAGACTCAGCAACCCCAAGCTCAGCACCCCCAGGCTCCGCACCCTCAGACTCTGCAACCCCAAACTCAGCACCCCCAGGCTCCGCACACTCAGGCTCAGCACCCCCAGACGCAACACCCCTAGCAGCACCCCCCCCCAGCAGCACCAGAGTCGACAGCTACCTCGACAGGCTCGACAGGGTCTACCTGAGACACACCTGAGGGAGCAGGACCCTAAGGGGGTAGGGGGTCTACCGGAGGAGGACCTGGTGCGAGGAAGAGCGGCAGGGGTGAGAGAGGGGCAGTGCGGTAGGGGAAGAGACGGTAAGAGGGAACCAACTCGTCAAACGTGACGTCCTGAGAGGGCAAGAGATGGCGCGAGGTGCGGTGGTAAAACTGAGAGCCAGGCGCGTTAGGGGGAAAGCCAAGGAAGACACAGGGAACGGCGCGGGAGGAGAGCTTGTCCGCGGAAGTATTGCGGACAAAGGCACAAGAGCCCCAGACCCGGAACACCAACGCATCGCCAACCTCCCCCGTCTAACGCAGTATAGGCGAGGTCTCCGGCAAGGAGACACGAGGCTAGATGTTGAGCTGATGCGCAGCGTACCGGACCGGAAACGACCACAGAAAATGGGGAGCGGCCGCATGGATCATGGAGAAACGAGCCACCTCCATGACTAAGCCAATTCGGCACTTAGCAACCCCATTCTGCTGCGGAGAGGCCGGAAGCGTGAACGAATGGCGGATGCCCTCCCGACGACAAAAGTCCCACAAGAGGTCGGAGGCGAAATTACAACCTCTATCAGAGTGCAGACGCATAACAGGAAGGTCCTCACGGAACTGCTGGCGGAGCTAGAAATGGACAGCATGGATCCAAGGGATCAAAATATCAGGGACCTCCCCCTTGCTGCGCAAGAGGAAGACTGTAGTGTAACACGAGTTGTCGTCAACAATCAGTAGAAGTAGAGCTTGCGGCCCTGTCCACTGACGCGGGATGGGCCCCACACGTCCATATGGAGCGTCTGCAGGGGAGCAAACGTCGGGGGAGACGAGGAGGAGTGAGGAGCGGCGCGCTGCCGCCCCTCAACACAGGGAAGGCATGGAGGGGCAGGCAAGGGTGGGAGGGGAGGCAGAGACCTGGGAAGACCAGAGACAAGGTGGCGGGAGTGCATGCCACGGAGGCATGGCAGGGAGGGGTGACCAAGGCGGTGGTGCCAAACGAGAGTCTGGTGCGACAGGAGGCGACACAAGTAGGGGGCTGCTACCGGACCTGACGCGGACACCTGACTAAATGCAGCTACCTGAGGAGGCTCAGTAGTCAGTGTGTACAGACTTGACCTAGGACGACGGGTGAACATGGCCAGGTGACGGTCCGTCCGTGTACATGTGCAGATCGATACACGCTGACCCCCAGGTGTGGTGTGGTAGTGACCATTGCATCCTGGAGGGCAACGGTACTTACCAAGTTTGTATAGAACGAGGGGAGGTGAAGACATGAGAGCAAGCCGGACGGAACCGCCGGACACAGGAGAACCGTGGAGGAACGTGCAAGAACTGAGTCCCCTGAGGGGACAGCAAGTCTGACTGCAACAGGTGCCGGGAGTGGTGTGACTGTGGTACTGTCGCGAAAGAAACAGCGGGAAGCACCTGAGTCAAGCGTGAAGGTGTGCAAGGCCTCAGTAGGCGCAGTACCAGGGAGAGTAGACTCACTAGCACCTAGAGCATCAGCCTCTATATCTGGGTCAGGCGGCATACACAGGTAACAATCACCCTTAGCACTAACAGTCAAAGCATACATGGCAGCAAGGATAGCGTCATAGTCAAGAGCAAAGATATCCACACCCTGCCTAAGCAGCGCTAGCAAACGGGGGAGCTAAGTCGCGTCGGGAAACTCACGCGTCGTCAAGACAGGAGAAGCAGCGGGACTGTGTGCGACCAACCTTCCCGCATGTGTGACCAGCGAGATCACATGTGCGAATAACGTACTGGCAGCGAACACTACACCGCAGACGCCCCACGCTGAGCAAACCACTCACGAAGCTCCTTGGGCATAAGGGTCTCACGTTGACGCTGCTGCTCCTGCCTCTGGCCACCGCTAGAACCTCCTCTCAGACCGGTTCCACCCGGACCGCCATCATTGCCGCCGCTACCACTCCCACTGCCGCCACCACTGCCGCCGCCACCACTCCCACTGCCGCCACCACCGCCGCCACCAACGCCTCCACTCCCATCACCACTCCCTCCGCCACCACTGCCACCTCCACCGCCTCCACTGCCTCCACCATGGCCTCCACCGCTACCACTCCCACCACCCTTGCCTCCCTTGCCCTTGCCGGAGCAGCGCCTCCCAATAGGAGCAGTTGCAGCCCCGACCACCACTGCCACCTCCACCGCCTCCACTGCCTCCACCACGGCCTCCACCGCTACCACCCCCACCACCCTTGCCTCCCTTGCCCTTGCCGGAGCAGCGCCTCCCACTAGGAGCAGTTGCAGCCCCGACGTCCTCCATACGAAGGAAGACAACAGCAGCATCAGAAGCAAAAGAGGGGGCAAGGGGGGAGGGGGAAAACCACTCAAAGAAGGGAGTGCGAAGAGTGCCACGAGCAGCACCTACAGCGACTATGCTAGCCTCAGCTGCAAGGAGGTGCTTCTCGAGCAGGTCGACAGTGAGGTCCGTGGGGTCCATGGCAAGAAAGAGATCCCAGGCTTGCTACTTTTTTGTGAAGGACGAAATCAAGCAAGGCAAGCTACGGCTTGGTTACTGCCCCACAAACGAAATGGCTGCGGACTTCTTGACCAAGCGTCTGCCGCATTTGGAATTTCAGTACTGCATGATGTTGACTGGACTCGACCACATCGACATCGGCAACATCGAAGTCCAGAATTGAAGGGGAGTGTTGGACGAAGAAATTTGACTTATGCAATTTAGTAGTTCGATAATATAAAACTATAGTAGTATCGTAGTATTACTATATGCATGCATGTTACTGTAGCCGATGTTCATTCGCGTGAGTTACAGGTAGTAGTTCGAACTGTCAAACTGTATATGTTATACTTGTTTATTTAGGCTGTAGTGGGGTAGCAAATGTAGGGTACAACCCCTTAGGGTTTTCTCTTGTACCAAAATTCTCTCGATAGTCTCATCATTCCTAGCTACCTATGGAACATGGTATTAAGAGCATGTAGGGTCTTAGGACCTTAGGACAACTTTTTTTTCGGGCCCACCACCTACCACCTGCCCGTATCGCGCTACCCCGTGCTCTGCCCTGCCCTAGTCCCGCGCTCTCCCTGTTAGCAGCCCGCAAGGCCCGCGCGTCCCCTCTGCTGGCTCGCGCGTCGCCTCTGTTGGCCCGTGCGCCGCCACTGCTGGCCCGCGCGCCGCCCGCCAGTAGCCCGCGCGGCCCACCAGCTATCCGCGCAGCCCGTGCGCAGCCCCTGCTAGCCCGCGCGCTACCCGCCTGCTAGCTCGCGCGCCTTGCGAGCTGCCTGTCGCGCTGCCACGCAGCTCCGTGCGACCGCCCTGCTGCTGCCGCGGCTGCCTGCTACGCCCCGCGCGCCACCTGTAGTGCTCCCTTGCAGCCCCGTGCGCCGCCTGCCCTGCTGCCGCGGCTGCCTGCTGCGCCCTACCCTAGGCGTCCTGCCTGCGCTGCCCTACGCCCTGCTCGCCCTGCCAGCGCTGCAGCCGCTGCTACGCTGTTGCTGCTGCCAGCGCCGCACTGCCCCGCCGTGCCCGAGCCGCGCCACACTGCCTAGGGGCCTGGCATGAGGTTGCTACTGCTGCTTCTACTGTTGTTGCTACCAGTGCTATTGCTACTTCTACTGCTGCTTGCATGCATTCGCTTTGTGCTGCTAGTCCCGCGCCAGCCGTTATGGCCACCCTCCAAGTTTTGTCGTTCGATGCCGAGGGCCGCCCGATTCAGTTCGAAACCTGGCTAGATGACCTGCAGCTGTTCCTAATGAGCGATAGCAAGAACGATGTCTCTCTTTATGACCACACGTCAGGTGCCTCAGTCGCTCCCGCTGCCACCACTGAGCTTAGCGCCCGTTCCCAGTGGCAGACTCGTGATGCTGCTGCGCGCCTAGCTGTTCGCAATCATCTTCCGTTAGCTGAGCTCACGCATTTTGGCAAGCACAAGACCGCTACGGCTCTTTATGACGCTGTAGTGGCTCGATACTCCTCCCCTGCCACAGCTGAGCTTAGCCGCCTCATGCTGCCCTACCTGTTTCCTGAGCTGTCCGCCTTTGCCACAGTTGCCGATCTCATTACCCACCTTCGCACTAGTGACACCCGCCTTCGCGCCGCCGTCCCCAAAGACTTCTATGCTAAGCACCCGCCTCCGATATACTGGACGCTCCACTTCATAGTCACCCGTCTCCCTTATGCTCTTAGCTCAGTCAGGGACCACTTTCTCGCTCGCTGTCCCTGTCGAAATATGTTATTCATATTTATATAATGTCTATAGTGTTAGTGTAGTTATGTTTCCCGTTTGGTGGTGCACCTCATTACCCTAGTTCTTGCCTATATCTTTGTACCTTTGCTCTTTATTGAACCCTTCTTCCCCCTCGATACTCTCGACACCCTCACCTAGTTTCCTAGGTTCTAAGCAAAATTTTGATATGCTATCAGAGTGATAGGTCCTGGCCTGTGGACCCGCCCTATTGCTTCTGCTGCTACTCTGTGTTCGGCACGCCCCGTGGCGTGCCCCTAAACTTTCTCTTAGCAGCCCCGTTGCCGCCCTTTCAGGCCCCTCGCGGCCCCGTCGCCGCCCTTCAGCGGCCCCATCGCCGCCCTTTCAGCGGCCCCGTCGTCGCCCGCCCTTCGTCTGGCCCCGCTACGGCCCCGCTCCGGCCCCACTTAGGCCCTGCTACGGCCCCGCTACGGCCCCGTCGCCCACCTGCGGCCCCGTCGCCCACCACGGCCCCATCGCCACCTGCGGCCCCGTCGCCCGCTGCAACCCCGTCGCCACCTGCGGCCCCGCCACCTGCAGCCCCGCCACCTGCGGCCCCGCCACCTGCAGCCCCGCCACCTGCGGCCCCGTCTCCACCTGCGGCCCCGTCGCCCACTTCAGCCCCGATGCCACCTGCGGCCCCGCCCACTTGCGGCCCCGACCCCGCCCCGGCCATGCCGTGTCGCCAGCCGCGGCACACCGGGGGCACGTGCACCGCCCCCCCCTCCCCTTTTTCCCGTCACCTGTCGAGGCGACCTGAGGGGGCCGCACTGGAAGGCGTGGGCAGGCGTCGCCCCCTCTGCCGCCTGCTTTGGCGCCCGGGGAGGCCGTGCGTCGTGCTGTGGGGGGGAGGGTGAAGGCGTGGCGGGAGGGACTCTGCAGCGCTAGCCGCTGCCCACCTCCTCTGCTCTCTCCCTGCAGTGCCAGTCGCTGTGGGGGGGGAGGGTGAGGGGGTGGTGGGAGCGTGGCTTCAGCACCAGCCGCAGCCGCCTCCTCATTCCTCCTCTCTCCCTTCTGCTCTCTATTTTCTGCGTTCTCTCGGCTCCTCCTCCTACAGCCAGGCATATGCTCCTGCCTACTGCTGCTACTTCCGCTGCACTCTGCATGGTGTACCCTCTTTAGGGGGCGTTACTACACTCACACCTGCAAACAATTATGGGGGTGTGTCGAAATATGTTATTCATATTTATATAATTGTCTGTAGTGTTAGTGTAGTTATGTTTCCCGTTTGGTGGTGCACCTCATTACCCTAGTTCTTGCCTATATCTTTGTACCTTTGCTCTTTATTGAACCCTTCTTCCCCCTCGATACTCTCGACACCCTCACCTAGTTTCCTAGGTTCTAAGCAAAATTTTGATAGTCCCACCGAACTCAATGTCGACCTCCTAGAGCAGCACCTCCTTGCAGCAGAGAAGAGCATTGTCGCTGTAGCTGCTGCTCGTGGTGCTCCTCGCGCCCCCATCTTTGAGGGGTGCTCTCCCTCTCCCCTCGCCCCCTCCTTGGCTACTTCTGCTGCTATTGACCTCCTTGGTGCTCAGTCTGCTAATGCTGCTTCTGCTCCTGGTGGGAGGCGCCGCAACGGCAAGGGCAAGGGAGCCAAGGGTAGCGGAGGTGGCACCGGGGGGGGTGGTGGTGGAGGCGGTGGAGGAGGAGGAGGAGGTGGCGGAGGGAGTGGTGGCGGGAGTGCTGGAGGGAGTGGTGGCGGGAGTGGTGGCGGGAGTGGTAGCGTCGGCAGCGGCGGTGGAGGCAGTGGCAGCGGAGGGGGTGGCAGCGGCGGTGGCAGCGGAGGGGGTGGCAGCGGCGGTGGCAACGGCGAAGGCGGCCGGGGCGGTAGTGGCGATGGAGGTGGCGGTCGGGGTGGAGGCACGGGCGCTGGCCAGAGACAGCAGCAGCAGCAGCAGATTCCCTAGACGACCCAGCAGCTTTGTGAGTGGCTTGCTCAGCGTGGGAGGTTTGGGGGTGGTGGTCGCTGCCCGTATGTCATTCGCACAGGTGAACGCAAGGGTCAGACATGCGGGAAGTTCCACACCTAGCACTGCTGCTTCTCCCGCCTTGACAACGCCTGGCGTGAGGAGATGGGCGAGGACGCTGAGCGCCCTCGCTGGTATGAGCTGCTTAAGGCTGGTGTAGACATCTTTTTTCTTGACTATGATGCTGTTATCACTGCCATGTATGCACTGGAAATTAGTGCTGATGGAGACTGTTACTTGTGTGTGATGCCTGACCCCGGTATAGAGACTGGTACTCTAGGTGCTGGTGAGGCTGCTGCCTTAGGTGCGAGCGAGTCTACTCTCTAAGATCCTGTGCTTGCTTAGGACTTGCACACCTTCACGCTTGACTCTGGTGCTTCTCGCTGCTTCTTTCGTGACAGTATTGCACTCACACCACTCCCTGCACCTGTTGCAGTCTCTCTGGCTGACCCCTCAAGGAGCCCAGTTCTTGCATGGTCCACCACTGTGCTCCTGTGCTCGGCGGTTCCGTCAGGCTCACTGTCAGGTCTCCACCTCCCCTCGTTCTCTACGATCTTGGTGAGTACTGCTGTCCTCTAGGATGCAGGGGTCGACACCTTCAACCCTGGTCGGCAGCGTGTGGCGATCTGTACGTGCTCCCAGACCGGCCGCCACCTGGCCACGTTTACCCGTCGGCCAGGGTCGAATCTCTACACACAGACGACTGCGCCTCCTTAGGTAGCTGCTACTGGTCAGGTGTCTGCGTCAGGTCAGGTAGCCTCCCCTTCTGAGTGTCACTCTCTGTCACACCAGACTCTTCTCTGGCACCCCTCCTGGGTCACCCCTCCTTGCCACGTCTCCGTGGCATGCACCGTCGCCTCCTTGTGTATGGTCTTCCTAGATCTCTCCCTCCCCTCCCTGCTTCACCTGCGCCGCCCTGCCTTCCTTGCATCGAGGGGCGGCAGCACGCCGCTCCTCACTCCTCCTCGTTTCCCCCGACAGAGGCTCCTCTGCAGACCCTCCACCTGGACGTGTGGGGCCCAGCCCGCGTTCGTGGACAGGGCGGTGAGCGGTACTTTCTGCTGGTTGTCGACGACTACTCTCGTTACACCACGGTCTTCCCCTTGTGCACCAAGGGTGAGGTCCCTGCTGTCCTGATCCCTTGGATCCGAGCAGTTCGTCTCCAGCTCCGCCGCAGGTTCCGCCAGGACCTTCGTGTCTTACGTGTGCACTCTGACAGAGGTGGTGAGTTCACCTCCGACCTCTTGCGGGCCTTCTGTCAGCGGGAGGGCATCGAGCAGTTCTTCATGCTTCCGGGCTCACCGCAGCAAAATGGGGTTGCTGAGCACCGCATTGGCTTGGTCATGGAGGTCTCTCGTACCTCCTTGATCCATGCGGTGGCTCCCCCTTTTCTATGACCGTTTGCGGTCTGGTACACCGCGCAGCAGCTAAACCTCTGGCCCTGTGTCTCCTTGCCGGAGACCTCGCCCACACTGCGTTGGACGGGGGAGGTTGGCGATGCGTCGTGTTTCCGGGTTCGAGGTGCTCGTGCCCTTGTTCGCGATACGTCCGCGGACAAGCTCTACTCCCGCACCATTCCCTGTGTCTACCTTGGCTTTGTCCCTGACGCGCCTCGCTGGCAGTTTTACCACCCCATCTCGCGCCGTGTCCTGCCCTCTCAAGACGTCACCTTTAACGAGTCGGTTCCTTTCTACCGTCTCTTCCCCTACCGCACTGCCCCTCTCCCTCCCCCGCCGCTTTTCCTCGCTCCAGGTCCCCCTCCGGTAGACCCCCTCCCCCCTCAGGGTCCTGCTCCTTGAGGTGTGTCTCAGGTAGACCCGCCCCCCTTGGCTGAGACTGTAGAGGTCACTAGTAGCTCCGGTGCTGCTGCGGGAGGTGCTGCTAGGGGTGCTGCGTTCGGGGGTGCCGAGCCTGCGCGTGAGGTGCTGGGGAGTGCGGAGCCTGGGGGTGCTGAGCCTGCAGCTGCGGAGCCTGGGGGTGCTGAGCCTACGAGTGCGGAGCCTGGGGGTGCTGAGCCAGAGGGTGCCGGGTCGGGGGGTGCTGAGTCTGCTGGCATTCCTCTGGGTCTTGTTTCACGACGCGGGCCTGTCTCACCACAGCACGCACAAGAGTGGCTTGCGTTGCATACCCGCCTGAGGAGTCCTGCTGCTGGAGCTGCTTGTAGTGGAGGCGCTGGGAGTGCTGGTGTCTTTGGTCGTGGAGGTGCTTATACTGGAGGCACTGGAGCTGCTGGGACTGGTACTGCTCCTGGAGCTAGAGGTGCTGGCTCTAAGGGTGCTGCTGCTGGAGGCCCTGGAGTTGGTGCTGTCGACCCTAGTGTTGGAGACCCTGGAGCTGGAGGTGCCGGTTCTGGGGGTGCTGCTACTGGAGACCCTAGGGCTGGAGGTGCTGGTTCTGGGGGTGCTGCTACTGGTGGCGCTGGAGCTGGAAGTTCTGGAGCTGCTAGAGGCGCTGGAGCTAGAGGTGCTGCAGCTGGAGTCACTGGAGTTGGAGGTGCTGCTACTAGAGGCGCTGGAGCTGGAGGTTCTGGAGCTACTGGAGGCGCTAGAGCTGGAGGTGCCGCTGCTGGAGGCGCAAGAGCTGGAGGTTCTGGAGCTGGTGGAGGCGTTGGAGCTGGAGGTGCTGCTGCTGGAAGCACTGGAGCTGGAGGTAGTGCTGCTGGAGGCGCAGGAGCTGGAGGATCTGGAGCTGCTGGAGGCGATGGAGCTACTGGTACTGGCGGCACTGCACCGCCGCGACTGTTTTTCGCTCCGCTGTCACTGTCGTCTCTGCCACCGCCTGACTCCGTGCTTTGCCAGGTTCTTAGCCTCCCGTTTTCTACTGGCCTCCCGTTAGAGCCTGAGAAAACTGAAACGAGAATGAATGCACTATGAAAGAGTTGGGTACAAGTACTAACCCTAATTGGGTTGTACCCTATATGGGCTACCCCACTACAGCCTACACAAAAGCATAAGCTATAATGTTCTGACACACCCCAATAGGCAAAGTGGGGGAGTACAAGGGGTCACAAGACCAGTCAAGCAAAGCAAAGCAAAGCAAGCTCAGGGTGGATCACAAAGTCACCACACATTCCGAGCACAAGGTCAAGGCCAAAAGGCCAGTTCACATGCAGGAGTACATATATATATAAAAGGCTAGACAAGCAAGAGCAGGGTATATATATATGTAACAGTACAAGCAAGGTCAAGAGGTGAGCAAGTGAGGTAAGGCAGGCACAAGACCCAGCTGAGTACAGAAGCGCTGATGATCACAAGGCGCAAGTGCCTTGGTGAAGATATCAGCAGTGTTGGCCTCAGAGGCCACGTACGCAAGACGCAGCTGACCACGCTGCTGCAGCTCACGAGCAAGGAAGTAGCGAATAACAATGTTCTTCGTTCTGTGCTCCAGTCTCTGCTCTCGACACAAGGCCAGCATGGCCTTGTTGTCTACGTACAGCACTTGAGGAGAACGAGGCGGCTCTCCGAGGTCACTCAGCAGGTAGGTGAGCCAGCGAAGCTCCTGAGCAGCCATGGCCCCGGCGTAGATCTCAGCCTCACAACTGGAGCCGAGAACAGAAGACGAGCGGGTAGCCCGCCACGAAACAGAGCCAGAACCAAGGCTGAAGGTGTAACCCTATGACGACCGCTGCGTAGCCTGGTCGTCAGCCCAAGAAGCGTCTGCGTGCCCAGTGAGGACCACTGGACTCTGCCCTCCAAGCACAAGCCCCATGCCCGACGTACTGCACAAATAGCGCAACACCCTCTTCGCTGCAGCCATGTGCTCCGGTCTGTGTCTCCCAGGAGCAACATAGCGTGCTAAGATACTAAGAGGGTATGCAAGGTCAGGTCGAGTGCAGGTCATCAGGTACATGAGGCAGCCAACAAGCTCTGGGTACGGGCCACTCAACTCTAGGGACTCATCCGAAGGCAGAGCTGAGAGCGAGTGGCGAGTAGGCAGAGGAGTGGCCTGAGGCAAGGAGTACGTGAAGCCGAAGCGCTGAAGGACCTGCTGCACCATGTGTGACTGAGTCAGGGTAATGGTATGTGCTCTGTCCCGGGTGATCTGCAAGCCAAGGTAGCTGCGCTGTTCACCCAGGTCTGTGCACGTGTGTCTCTT